GACCTTCCATACTTTCTTTTCACATATGATACCCTAAGGATGAATTTACTTAATCCAATGGATAATGTCAATTGCTTAGTCAAGTAGGGATATTCACTTACCTTGGCTAGACCGCCCCGCGAGAAGGAATATCAATAAAATGAAATAAACAAATAAGAATGATGTTAATAATAAACAATACATAAACATAAAATAAAATGCGATCTAGCGGGCGACAGGGTCATGCTCCAGGGGTCTATTGTTCACATGTGATGTGAATTCAGTACTTTTCACTTGCAGTGTGCTCCCGGAATTGAATATGTGTTGCTTTCCCTGGAAGTTATCGGAAGTTACGAGTGCTGTGTTTGCTCATATACCGACGCCCCAAAATGGCGGGTTGGTGCCGCGAGCACCTCCTTCTGTTGTCACCACTGGCACTCTCTGATAGGCAGTTTCAAACTCTCCCTCACTTACCAACTCTACACCAATTTTTGAGCAGTTACATTCACTCATCTGCCCTTGCGCCGGACTGGTCACTTGAATCACAATCGGCGGACTCGGTAGCGTGGCCATTTGCGCCGAGGGCGTAGTCGGCGGAGGTGGTGGCGGCGGCGCGAGATAGGATGGGGTAGTTGGTACGTACGTCCACATAAATGAGGCATTTACACGTTTACCCGTTTTTACCCGTGCCATCCACGTGGCTTGCCACGTCCACCACCTTTGGGCTGCCTCTTGTTCTAACAGGTTTTGCTCTCTTCCACGTAACTTATCATCAGAACCGTGGGATTACGTGTTCGACTAGATCGCCTTGGCGGTAAGACTTGCTCTTGTACGGGAATCCTTCTTCCAGTCATCAATGCGTAATCATCCTTTTTTGATATTTGCGGGTATATACCTGCTGCCCAAATACGAAACGCCTTTCTACTCTTTCTATTCTATCGTGATCAGCCACCATTCGTTCCCTGTAGCTACGAGATTACTCAATGCTTTTTCCCTTTGTCTTATGCACATCCAATGTTGTCCTCAACTCTCTTCCCATCAGAATTTCGGCCGGCGATTTCCCCGTGACTGGATGAGGGGTAACTCTATATTCGAAAAGCAATCCCGCTGGTATATTGTCCTTGGACAGTTTCCTCACGCACTCTTTCACCGCCGTTTAAGTCTTGGACAAGATCTTTCCGGCCTGTCTCGTTAGAATTTGGGTGGGACGGCCCGAATTATGTTAGGTTCACTGCACTTCTTCGCTTAACAAGATTGCCAGTGGGTTCTTGATTTGTCGGTTTTTGTAGTACCTGGGTATTTCTTCATGTGCTTATAGTTAACCAGTTTTGCTTCGCCCGCTATCGCGCGCATCACACGGCAGGCTTTAGCGAAATTGGAGGACCCATGGAATATCAGCATGAGATACTCCATTAACCATCTCACTATTGACTGTGTTAGACCCTCCACAGTTTCACTGAAGCTCATCGAGAATACGCGTGATAACGTCTGAGCTGAACTGGCCATTATCGTCACAACTGTAAACATCCAGCATTTTTCTTGAATTAAGATAATTTAGCGGTGAATAGGATTGCTGTCAGTCTCAAAATCAAAACGAAATATGCCTATTTACATAAGTGAGGAGCTAATGCTTATCATTCATTTACATTCATCATTATTTAGAACCACGAAAGGATTAGCGGTTTAATGAGATTGGGTTTTCTTAATAGTCAGAAATGAAACTTATCATTCGCTGAAGACTTGTTTTTTAAAATTTATGCAGTCGAATTCTATTAAGTAAGCTGGACATATATATCGAAATAATGTGCACGTACCTTTGTTTGTACTACTACGACTTACTACAATTTGTAAGTAGGAACGCTCTAGTGTCAACGCTGCGTAACGGAACTAACGACTTTTGCGTTCTGACGCGCCTTATCGGCCCTTATCAATCGTTATCAGTTTCTGGCACCCACCAACAATGTCCCCGTCCCACCCCACATAACACTTGTAAGTATGGTTGCTCTGGTGTCAAGGCGAGCCAGGCAACGGAATCGACAGTCGAAATTGGACGCGCATTAATCTGAGCCACTTATAACTCTTATTCAGTTCCGGCAGCCCAAACAATGTTGCCGATGTCACCACATATACTTGTACTGTGCTGCTCTGGGGTGGTCAAGGTCTCCAGGCAATGGAATCGACGACTTCAGCGTTCTGACGCGCCTTATCGCCCTTATCAATCGTTATCAGTTTCTGGCACACCACCAACAATGTCCCCATCCCCCTCACATAATACTTGTAAGTATGGTTGCTCTGGTATCAACGCGAGCCAGGTGGCGCGGATCGCGATTCTGCATTCTGACGCGCTTTCGCCTTATCAATCGTTTATCAGTTTCTGGCACCCCCAACAATGTCCCCGTCCCACCCCACATAACACTTGTAAGTATGGTTGCTCTGGTGTCAAGGCGAGCCAGGCAACGGAATCGACGACTTCAGCGTTCTGGCGCGCCTTATCGGCCCTTATCAATCGTTATCAGTTTCTGGCACCCACCAACAATGTCCCCGTCCCCCACATAACACTTGTAAGTATGGTTGCTCTGGTGTCAAGGCGAGCCAGGCAACGGAATCGACGACTTTTGCGTTCTAGCGCATCTTATCAGCCATTATCAGTTGCTATCGCTTCCAGTCATGTACCACCAATGTTCCGGGACCGCCCCACATAAGACTTGTAAGCATAGGCCGCTGATTCTTATCATGGTTTGACGACGGACACACGATTTTGTGTGGGGTGAATGGCTCGCTTTCTAGCCTTTTAGCTATTATCAGTCGTTATCAGTTCTATCACGTACCACTTGTGTCCCCATCCCCCCTATAACATATGTAAGAACCACTGCGCTATCGTTACTGTGACTCGAGCTATGAATTTCCGGTCAAACAACACACACACACACACCAACAGACACACGCTAGCCGCTTATATATAGTAGGATAGTGACATTCCTAAGTTGTCTTCGATCTTCCTTTTTGAAAACCATTGCTTTTTGGGCTGAAATTGCTGTCATTTCTCCATGATTCAATTCGGAAAAAAAAACTACAAAGAGGCATGTGGAAAGGGCACACTCGTACCCAATTACATGCCAGTTTTTTCCTTTTGATTACCGCGAATTGCTCCCACACAGATTCAGTGCAGTTCTCCGTTTTATCATCAACGGGGATGATGCTATATTACGAGCATATCGAAGTTCTGCTAGGGTCGTTATGTTCGCGTTCGGGCGTGCACGTATCGGACCGAGCGTTGTGGTCCAATGAGACGGGTGTATTTTAAAAGTAGGGAGATTCTTCATAGCCAGAGCTACAGGAGACATCGTTTAACTGCTACAGGCTAGAGTAATTACGGATGACCTCCTTATGCAGGTGAGCAGAACACATGCTTGCACTGTGTGTTCGGAGGCACTTCAGGAATGTTTTGATGGAAGATTTCATCGACCACGGCAACCCTTGCGAGTTGAAGCGTGCTCATATGCGTCGCTAGCAACGTGTCGCTTTTTTGGACACCCTTGTAGTACATTGGTTGCGTCCAACAATGACAGTCGTTGAAATGATTCGTCATTACTGTCCATTTTCTATAGTCCAATGGATTTTCTAAAAATGTAAAGTATCCGAACTGCACGAGTCAATGATCTCCTGATAGATATTGAGAAATTTTCCTTTCGGTTGGGACTGTTTATGGACACAGTGGACATGGACACATGGATACACCTAACTTATTGTTCATGGACATTCCTAGTTGCCGATTTGATACCCTTTTAGCATATAGTCCTTCAAGAATCAAACAATATACAGGGGTGGCCAAAAAAAGAGACACTTAGCCCATGGCGCCCATTATCGCACATCATCGAACTTTTCGTCGCACAGGGAGCCGATGTTAATGAAAGTTTTACGGCGAATATTCCTTAGGTGTTCCCCCGTAAACAGAAGCAGGCCCTCCTTCACTGCCCCCGCCGTCTTCAGAATATGACGTCATCTGCCGTCACCGTCGAGCTCAACGAGGCTTACCGTAATCGCTCCGGCCTGAAGCTGCTACATAATTTCTTCAATGGATTAACTGTTGAATAGCTTCCCAGAGACATAGCTGTGAATATGCACAACCGCTTTTGCTTTTCTGATGTCGTCGGTGTAGGAGGCTGTTGTGTACCTTGTTGATAGATTATAACGTGCTCTTTAATATTCAGTTGGGTCATTTGGTTTGGTTTCGCGACGCGTAAATAATTCCGTTTTGAATGTGGAGTGAAGTGTCTCTGTTTTATTTATTACCTCTACTGACATGGTGTAGTGTTTTCAGGTTTGTCTCAGTAATTCGTTCAGCACCTACTGATGCAATCGCATTTATTTTGAGCCTCGGTGATGTATTTTTCCATAAAGTTAATAAAGTTCGTTTACGTCATTGCTATCCGAAATGAGGTTTGTTCGGGTAGTAGAGTAGGTGCACGCAATTATTGCAATACTCTAAACTTTTCCGAGAGTGTGCTTATTCCAAATCAAATTGGAACCAAAAACAAAACGAAAAAAGGTGGGGAAATGATTGGTCGAATGGACAATGATCGTGGAATTCGATTGCGCAACAAAGTGTTATGATACATGCCAGATCTGAGCTCCAGTTTCGCAGTAATCTTTTCTGGAGTCAAGGCAAATCTTTCTTAATCAGTACTGATCGTAATAGCTTGCTGTCGAAAGTATGTAAGTTTGGCATGGCAATAACCAAGGATGTCGTGCATCTACAGTCAAAGCAACAGTCGTCGATTTGGTGTAGTTCAAGCAGTCGATAATGAAAGTGTGGATGCCGAACTAACTGAAAATGGAAAAGTAAGCAAAAAAAAACAGTCGATTAAGTCCTTAAACAAGGAATTTCTGTTCCTACTTGAAATAAAAAAGGGGCAGGCCGGAGGGGTTGTGCGAATTTGCTTGCCAAGAACCAAAATTTCTAAGGACTGATTCCCGTTGTTTGAAAGTAGACATATTCATGAAGGTCCCAAACTTTGCAGGGTTTCTTACCAGCTGAGGCAGAACGTTTCGTCAAGAAACGGTCACAAGTTAAGCGCATGCAGGAGCATCGAAATGAGGCGGTTTGAGACATACGCGACGACGTTCTTTTGCTTTCGGTTGGGACGAACGCGATTCATTGAAAGCCGTCGCCTCACCTAACTGCAGATTTTGTATTGTAAATGAAAGGGGACGTTAATTCCAAAAAAATATAGTAGTGATTTTAAATTGTAGCGCACTTGTCGGTAAGCGAGAGGTGCGGGTTCGAATCCCGTCCGAAGCACAAGTTTTGGTCACAAACAGCATTCTTGCACGAAATGGTGGGAATGCAACGTCATCCACTTTCACGGCAGTCAAGGTAAAAGCGTTTTTACTCGATTGTTTCGATAAACAATTACTTTGCCATCAACAGGGTTTGCTTGTTACGCTCTTAATTCGCATGTTTATTGCAATAGAAAAATGGAAACAACTGAATCAAAAATCTAACATGCCGCGAACAAAGTTTCTAAAATGAAACATCTAACCTTTCGGTGGACCCCGTCCTTCACACTTACACACTTCACACGTATTATTTTCTTATTAAGCAGTCGCTATCGAAGATACCTAAAAATTCCTATAAACGACTAGCAGCGATTTTCAACTGGCAACCCATACTGGATGCCGCTCGCGTGAATATTTAACACGTTGACGACAACGCGCGTTTTGGGTTTTTGCGCCGCGTGGGACCACGGCGATTTTGCAGGCGCCGCCGCCTCACATCAAATCCGTGAATTTTGAGCTTTAAATACCCAAAACTCGGATGCAACAAAATGTTTAGAATGATATTCGATGTGTCAAACTTATCAGAAGGGGCCAAATGTAAACAATCGAAATAGAAGTTGATGTCCGCGGCGATGAAAGCAAGTTATCCCGCATTTTTGCTGCAGTGAACCTCAAAATTATTTTTGACGCGGTTGCTCCACTAAAAACATATGTCTTGCTATATGTGTGGGTCTGTACTTACTTCTACTGCTCTTTTTTATGACCAAGATTATCAGAATATAAAGGAAACTAGGAATGAACACAATTGGGAAATTCGTAGGGCTTAGAAAACCTTCGCTAAAAAGGAGCATATTCAACCATTCAATGAACCTCGCCGTGTCTAGTCATATTATGGTGTAGTCTATGGAATAGATGCAAAAAATTAGAAAAGAAGTAGCGCATGCGCGAAAAAATAAATATTTTGTGTGTGCAGCGCATGCGCTGCACACGGTCCCACACGGTGCTCAAGGTGTGATGCGCATGCGCTGCACAATGTCGTCAACGTGTTAAGGAATCATTCCACGTGATCGGCACATGCCATACAGCAGAAATTATACAAATCAAGCAGTTGCTTCGGTGACACTACATATGTCCTCACACTCCAGGCATCTTTCACCCCCCTACTACGTAACCTCTCAAAGTATACGATTCATCTGATTGTCGCTTAAAATACTGTAAATTTCACATTCTCTCCACACGCGGCCTCCTCCGCTCAACAAAACTTAAGATCAGCTCGCAAACCTGAAGCTTTGAGAGCTTTCTCTTTTGGGGCTTTCCCGCGCAGGAAGCAGCCACATCGTCACTCATGCTTAGACACTTGACTTTTCTTATTCGATTCGCAGGTGTGTATTAGCTTTGCTCGCGTTTTTTAGGTCACGTATGTGACTTGACCACACCATGCTATGAAAACTGACTAGTTCTGATGCCCCTTCACGCCAAACGCGGAACGAACGCTCTCCACCCGAATGGTCCAGCTAACGTTGTACCTAGGGCGGGAAATCAATATGATGAACGATCTAGCTCCAGAGCTGAGCAGGAGGAAACGAGCGGCTTGGGGAGCGTATAAGAACATCGAGGGAGTAGTGAAGAAGACGAAGAACATCGGCTCCGTGCCCACCCTAAAGAACACCCTTCAATTCCGCTGTACCTTCCTCCTAAATCAGCTAACGCTCCACGAGACCTTGAGCTCTGCGCAGGCAAACGACGAGCATCGGCGCTCCCGCTAAAAAATCCAACGCGCTGCGTCGCCGAGACAATGCTAGGCAGTAACTCTATACACGCCACCGTGCAAAGGCGGAATTTGAGCAGTGCGAACTACGGCCAACACGATCCGACAGACCAGGGACCGCTGACCCGTTTTCCGCCAACAGGACTCCGAAAGGTGGGCCGGACACGTCATGCGATTTTGCGATGACCGTTGGACCAGAGCGGTTACCGACTGGATCCCTCGGGACGTCAAACGAACACCTGGACGACCGCCGGCCCGATGGTCAGACTTCTTCACGAAAGCTCTGAACGAAAGGAATGAAGGACACCGTGTCCCTCGAGCGAGGAGGGTCCACTGGACAACTCTTGCACGCGACAGGGACGAATGGAGACGTTGCTGGCGCCCGCTCGAGCAATTCGATGATCAAAACAACCGGGCAACAAAGCGGAGACGACACGGTGACACCAGCGCTGACAGGTGAATATGTGATAAGTGATTCTACTCTATAACTGACGTCAGCCCTCTTTCTCTAAACACATACGCTAATTCACCACTCTCTTCAAAGTTTAATCATTTTTATGCTTCATGTTAACCAGCAATTCTTACCCACAAGGAAACATGAAAATAAAGATCGCATTTCTAGAGATCGGCCACGCATTCTACTTCCATTTGTAATAGTTCCGTGGTGGGGGGGGGGGGGCAGGGGCGGGGCGGCGGGGGGGGTGGGGGGCGGGCGGGGGGCCGCGCGCGGGCCGGGCAGGGGGCGCTTTTTGACCTCGCTAAGTGGCCCTATAAACTGACCTTGCCGGGGCCCCGCCGATGCTAAATCACAGTCCTGTCTTTTATCCTCCAGACACAGTTCGTGCCAATTACGAATTGACGTAAATCTCGACTCCGAGGATGGAAGCTTTGGTTGCTCGTCGATTCAGCCGACCCAGGCAGTTGATGGCCGTCCTCTCGCGGGCTAGCGTGCCACTTGCCACTACAACCACTTCCCACCACTTTGAATAAAACAATAGAACTGTCACCCAATGACATGCACACCCGTCCTAGTGATGCAGACCATTATGAGCTTCGAACATAGAGATTCCAGCATCTTCGATCGATCGTCCATCCATGAACAGCTAGCTGAGACCCGCTGAGATATGCTTACCCATCTCTCAATATTTCAATAAAGAGTACTGTGTCGCTCTAAAACGCATTCACCGGTTCGAATGCACCAAATGGGACGCCACATTCTCACGAGCCATTGCCGTTCTTGGTTCGGGATACGGCTTCCTCTGTGTCCCTCTGTCCTTTGACACAGCTTTAACACGCTTTCGCCAACACCAGCGCGTTTTAGTTTTCTGCCCGCGTGGACAAAGGCGCCACTTATGCGCACGCGTCGTCAACACTCACACCCCGTAAATTATCGACACGCATAACCCTGCGCGAGGCTTCATGTAGCGAACCACACACGCAATATTTCCATGCGTCGACAAGTGATGCGTTAGGCAGAACAGAACAACGCTACTTTAACACGTTGACGACAACGCGCGTTTTGGGTTTTTGCGCCGCGTGGGACCACGGCGATTTTGCAGGCGCCGCCGCCTCACATCAAATCCGTGAATTTTGAGCTTTAAATACCCAAAACTCGGATGCAACAAAATGTTTCAGAATGATATTCGATGTGTCAAACTTATCAGAAGGGGCCAAATGTAAACAATCGAAATAGAAGTTGATGTCCGCGGCGATGAAAGCAAGTTATCCCGCATTTTTGCTGCAGTGAACCTCAAAATTATTTTTGACGCGGTTGCTCCACTAAAAACATATGTCTTGCTATATGTGTGGGTCTGTACTTACTTCTACTGCTCTTTTTTATGACCAAGATTATCAGAATATAAAGGAAACTAGGAATGAACACAATTGGGAAATTCGTAGGGCTTAGAAAACCTTCGCTAAAAAGGAGCATATTCAACCATTCAATGAACCTCGCCGTGTCTAGTCATATTATGGTGTAGTCTATGGAATAGATGCAAAAAATTAGAAAAGAAGTAGCGCATGCGCGAAAAAATAAATATTTTGTGTGTGCAGCGCATGCGCTGCACACGGTCCCACACGGTGCTCAAGGTGTGATGCGCATGCGCTGCACAATGTCGTCAACGTGTTAAGGAATCATTCCACGTGATCGGCACATGCCATACAGCAGAAATTATACAAATCAAGCAGTTGCTTCGGTGACACTACATATGTCCTCACACTCCAGGCATCTTTCACCCCCCTACTACGTAACCTCTCAAAGTATACGATTCATCTGATTGTCGCTTAAAATACTGTAAATTTCACATTCTCTCCACACGCGGCCTCCTCCGCTCAACAAAACTTAAGATCAGCTCGCAAACCTGAAGCTTTGAGAGCTTTCTCTTTTGGGGCTTTCCCGCGCAGGAAGCAGCCACATCGTCACTCATGCTTAGACACTTGACTTTTCTTATTCGATTCGCAGGTGTGTATTAGCTTTGCTCGCGTTTTTTAGGTCACGTATGTGACTTGACCACACCATGCTATGAAAACTGACTAGTTCTGATGCCCCTTCACGCCAAACGCGGAACGAACGCTCTCCACCCGAATGGTCCAGCTAACGTTGTACCTAGGGCGGGAAATCAATATGATGAACGATCTAGCTCCAGAGCTGAGCAGGAGGAAACGAGCGGCTTGGGGAGCGTATAAGAACATCGAGGGAGTAGTGAAGAAGACGAAGAACATCGGCTCCGTGCCCACCCTAAAGAACACCCTTCAATTCCGCTGTACCTTCCTCCTAAATCAGCTAACGCTCCACGAGACCTTGAGCTCTGCGCAGGCAAACGACGAGCATCGGCGCTCCCGCTAAAAAATCCAACGCGCTGCGTCGCCGAGACAATGCTAGGCAGTAACTCTATACACGCCACCGTGCAAAGGCGGAATTTGAGCAGTGCGAACTACGGCCAACACGATCCGACAGACCAGGGACCGCTGACCCGTTTTCCGCCAACAGGACTCCGAAAGGTGGGCCGGACACGTCATGCGATTTTGCGATGACCGTTGGACCAGAGCGGTTAC